ACCACTTAGTTTTTAACTCTACTAATGGCACCCGACATTCGGACGACAATGGCTACAAACTAAGACACACTAAGGGTACAGTAGCTATCGTACAATGTAAAACAGCCCCCAGGCAAAAGCTTTACTTGCTTAGGTATGCACAGATATGGAGTAAACTATCAATGGAAATGCGTCAAGCAAGTACATTGGCCTACTTCGATGGAGTGCTTAACGACAAACTACGAGAGTTTGCAAACGATAGTAGTTCTAGTTCCTATCTGAAAGCCTCCGAAATTATAGATCCATTTAATGTATAAGCTTAAATACTACACCTGTTGTTTTTGCCTATATTTATAATTTTAGATAAAACATTAACGATTAAGATACCCTCAAACAGAAAAAACATTTCGTTTGTAAAACTTCTACCCAACACAATAAGTGGAATAAAATGGACATAAACCGACAACATGAAAAAGTTATAACTCACCACATCACATAGACAGATGTACGCTCGTCTGACACCATATACACCTCACCAACTACAACCCATCTTTCCTAAGATAATGTGATGGTTTCATATCCATAATGTTGCTGAGCAGTTAATATCCACAACTCCTGTCGGAACAGCTGAAATTCATAAACCTTCCTCACGCGAAGAAAATACCCACAAGCAGTAGAAATCCATTAATCAATGCGTCTAAAGCTTATGTATTTTACTACCAACAATGACATTGCAGATCTAATGAGATAAACATATCACTGATTTCAAAATAACACATCAATGAACGATAATTCAAGGATTCTGCATGCAAAAAGTTACGTATGAAAATTGACTTCAAGCTTCATTTTTTCCCAGGCACTTATAACCCATCCACCAAAGACCTGGTATTTTTTTGTTAATGCGAAGACAATACTTCTGTATTTCCTGATGTGTCGCACTCACTGACAATCTAGCAGATTTTTCCAACTGTGCACAGAAACGATTGTACATAAGTGAAAAGGCTGTTTAATACTACTGGGATTAACATTTATCAAGTGTATGTATAATCTTCAGCGTACATGTAAAGCATATTTTGCTATCGACTGTAAATTGTGACTGAATGATATGGTTCTATTTCTGTAACAATTTGATGATGCCCGTAAACTGGCGTCCCTCATGTACTGTACTATGAGAATAAATTTATTTATTTAAAACTAGTCTGACGAGAGTAATATCATATTCGAACCCGGCCTTCATGTCTGAACATTTGAATTACTCTATTTTTTGAGAATCAGTTTTGTCTCTTTTGGTGGCGGTTTTTTTCCATCCATCGATGACACTTAAAGAATCAGGGGGGTCTAAACGCTGATATGCAAAGAAGCGCCTTCGAAGTTCAAGTGCTTTAGTGTCCTTCCAAGCATCAAGACTGCTTCCTTTACACGGTGTTCTGTTGTGCAACTTTAGAAAACCTACTACTTAACTGCCGGAGCAAAATCGTGTTCTATTCCATCTGGATTAGACTGGAAATAACTGGTGATTGATGTAGGGCAATCTGTTCTGCTAAGCCTGAGATTCGGCCACATTATCTGCTGACTCTAGCCTGGCCCACCTAACTTGGCGTCCAGGCTGCTCTAACGAAGGGAGAAAATAACACTTCCGGTTTTCGGAGCGTGTATTTGTCTATCTGAAGGGAATGTAAAGATACACATTCGCACCACAATGCAGCTACCGATCTCTAGACCCCTGAAAATCCAACAGTTCCCTTGGAGTTTCTGCCTGCATGGGTAAACAATTTAATCATTGCACGTTCGATTGGTTTGACAGACTTTTTTACCCTCTATCGCGCTTTAATCTTTGTATAGCGAATTCGCGATGGTCTTGCAGCAACGTTTACATGCTAAATAGATTAGGTTAGGTCTTGGGAAACAGTTGATCACTGCTATAACACTATATCCTATGCCTTTCTGGTTAGCAGTAGAATCGCACTGTCTCCCATAACAGTTCTTTCTTGTAGGCATGTTCTCGCAAAGTCAATAAACCTCTGCAGGAAATGTGGCGCTCTTGATTAGGAAAATGGAAAACAGAATTTCCTAAATGCAAAGACCAGGGTTTCATAGAAATTCTAAAGTTTATGCACCGAACTGTCAGAATGCCACCATTTCTATGAATAGGTAGTCCGAATACTTATGGAAAAGACTAACATCAAGAAGAATAATCTTGGTTATGATTGATATACAAAGGACTTCATTGTATAATACCACGGAGCTTTTGAAAGGAGCGTTTAAAAATCCACTCGGCTGCCAAAGTTAGTTTGTATGCAAGTTACTGTCAAATAGAACAATCTGAATAATAATAACTTTATTCTAGGCAGTGTGGTAATGTGTGGAAAAGAATTTTCAGCAAGTGAAGTGGTATTTGGCACTACATTGCGTTTTGATGCGTTATTCCATATGAAGTAAAGTCTAAATCTAAAAGATATTTTTTCCTGATTTCTGTTGAGAAATGCTCTGCATTATAGAAAACTGAAACTGTGTATGAGTTCAAGCGGCGATCAAGAAACTTGGTCTGATGGTTGAAGTATTAAGGAATAGGGAAGAGATTATGAAACATTCCGCATGGAAATTTAAGTACCCGAGTGATTCAACCAGGCCACCAGGTTCAGTTAGTCTCTCTGATTCACAAGAATAGGTGTATATAAATTAAAAGTTCCGTTGTAACACCGAATGTTATTTACTGTTTTTCTCACCGAAAATTCCTCTATTAAAACTCTGAACTGCTGTTGACCAGCTTTGTTTGTCAGTTTCAAATTGCATATTCAGGTTGGTGGTAGAGGATAGAGGCACAAATCAGCTGATTGCTGCAGTTTTAAGGTGTTATCGTGGTGTTGTGTTTAGGCTATTCTACGTTGTTTTCAGTGGTTTTTTCGACAGAAATGCATTTCAAAAATCATATTTTAACGAAAAAACGTGTAAAAAGTGAGAAAAGTAGTCGTTTTCAGTGTGTTGACGAAATGCTGTTTTTTCATCGAATTGACATCCCGAGTTGCATAAGAAATGAAACAATTCATTGGAAAATGTCAATAATGATAGAAAATGCTAAATTATTACAAATTTTGAAGTTTATTTTACGTATATGATGAGAAAAGGGTTAAATATCGAGGTAATTATAATTTCATGATTTTTACCAAATTGCTCAGAAATAAAGGAAATCAAGTTGGTTATTTCGTCAGATAACGGTGAAGAGATAGTCATTTAACTAGTACGTACTGTATTATATGCTTATTTATTTAACTCATCACATCTTGACTGAATGTTTAATATTAATTTCCAGATTATGGTCTTCAATCCCGCAATCACTCAACACATTTAGACATTCTAATTGGGATTAAAAACGATAATATTTGTGTAAATGATGGAATTTTTGTGATATTAATAATGTATTTATCGAAATAAATATTGTTTTACAAATTGTGCTCCATTAATACTTAGTGTTTGTCGAGTTGCAAAGTGATGCCAATGTGGAAGACGTAATATTCGTAAAATGGCATATTCACACGTTGCTGAATTTCGTCACGATGGTGTACTGTTATCGCTTTTGAGTAATTGCTTTCGCTAGTAAATCTTAAACAGGCGATATGCACAACAAAGGCCTATTTAATGCGTTACAGTATTTCATGATAGCAAAATAATCAACGAAGTTTAGTGACGTAGTCAACTAATTAGTTGCATTAATGCACGAGTCTAAGTGTTGGTGTGATCATGTAAGAGCCTTTTGATACGAAATGATAATACAAGAAGAGTAATGTAGTTTTCTCCTTATTACCTAATGATACCCTTCGAGATAGTGGTGTTAAACGCAACATAATAATAACAGAGTATTTGTGATAAGTGGGACAGACGTCGCATTGTGTACTTGCAGTGCCTGGACTACTAATACATGTCGTCTGCATGTAGAACCTACGTTTGCTAGACTTTATTTCGTTATTACAGTACGAACACATATTTGACGGCTACCTTCTTAACAATCTTGAATATTAATCTTATACGCAACTGAAACACTTTACGCAAGGCTTGATGACGCATAGAGGAAGTAATAACAGTTTATGACTGACGCATTTCACATAAGTATTAAAACGTTGCCTATCATTCTCGTTAACTCTGCAATGTCCTCAAAATAAGTAAAAGAGACAAAGTTAGTCGACATAAATGCATATATTTGTAAGGAAACAATAATCAATCAAATTAAAAATGACTCATAATAAAAGAGTACATATATACACAAAAAAGAGTTAATAACAATCCAGTGAAAAAATCATAGTTGTAGAGTTTTTATAGCTGCATCGTAGTCATCATAAAGTCCACCAAACACTCTAACCGCAACATCTGTGTCAGTTTGCCTCTGTTGTTAGTGGTGTTGGACCAGTCTTTGCAGTTTTCGTCACCACCAGTTCCGTTCGCAGAAACTGGATGTGAACTTTTCAAGCAGAGATTGAGATTATATTCCTTCGACTGCCTTCGGCCGTATTGAGAAATATCTGAGGATGTATACATATCGGGTAAATTAATCTTACCTTTGGTGAACAATTCCTAATCTTAGCCACAGTGAATATGTGAACAAGGCAAAGAACAACCACAGAGTTGGTGAAATTCTACAGATTAGTCGTCCATATATTCCACGATAGATTTCAGGAATCATGTAACTTCCAAATCACCTGTTACACTTTTTCTTCTATAAAAAGCAAATATTATACAAGTGACTCTTACCCATCCGTTACAATTAACCGAAAGACATAAAATCTCTAAACTTTATATTTCTTTGATTAAGTTACCCAGTAGTATTCTCCTTGTTACTGGATCTAATGCTTCTCACATCTGTGAAATTTATAAGCATGTTAACTTGTTCCCTTAAGCTAAATAACATAATGTTTATCCGCTTTTATTATTGCTATTTCAAAGCCCGCCTCAGTAACGTACGCCACGTATTAGCCGCAACGTTTATGCAAAGGAAAATCTACCAATCACAGTGTGCGTAAGTGACCTTCAGGTGCTCAGCCTCTCCATAAGCCATTTGTGCCGCTATCCTCTATCGTTGGTGCCATCATTGGAGGTCTTCACGTGCGATGTCTGCTGATCGTATTGTCCGACTGGGTAGTTCGAAATCCAGAAGTGGTAGTGGTGAATATGAAGGTTGCAGTGAGTGTTTGGTTTCAACATACATTCGAAAGGCCCTCAATTTTATTACTTATCTATTTTTTCGTGTGGAGTTCAGTGCTTCAAAATACCACGGCAAGTTAACTTGCTTAAAAATGGATGGTTGGAAGCATCACAGGTAGAAATACAGAAAAGTGTCTCTTTCTGAATTCATCCTAAAATCCTTTTCTAGATTTGCCTTGGTAGTAAATCGATATTGATGTAATATATCGGGCACCCTAGGGTGCCGTAGCTACGTCCTCACTCTTGGCGCAAACTTTAATGGCATTATTGTGTGTTTCGAGACTTATTACAGGTCATTGGCCTGGCGTCTTCATTTCACAGCCATGGTCTAAGCCATTATTCTCAATGGAGATAAAATACTAGAACAGTTCCAAAATGAGCTGTAGTATGGTAATAGAGTGTAGGAAAACAAATGATTGCTATTCCTCGCTATTCTCTCCTCTTCGGCTTCTCTGCTTATTCCCAAATACCTTTCAGGAGTTAAGTAGTCAAGACTAGCCCAACTTCCTTAATATCCTACAGTCTTCACTTTCATTACCACTGTGCTTCGGCTACTCAGTTCAGATTCAGATTCAGATGATAAGGATAGAAGGCTCTTGTGGCCTGTGTTAATCCTTGCAAAGTATATCTCTGCAGAGATCTAACTTCTCTTTGAAAGCGTTCACCGATGGAGCTGATACTACTGAATCAGGTAAGGAGTTCCAATCGTTGACCACTCTGTGAGAGAATCTAAATTCTGCACGTATTTTAATCGTCCTTGGTTTGAGCACCTTTTTGCGGTGACCCCGTAAATGTATCCTAGAAGGGGAGAAAAGGTTAGAAAGGTCAGTTCCTAAATCACCCTTAAGTATACGGTATGCTAAAATTAAGTCGCCTCTCTTCCTTCGGTATGATAACGGGAAGAGATTTAAATGCTCCATCCTCTTATCATAAGGAAGGTGTGAGATACCACTAACTAATTTTGTTCCTACTCTCTGTACTCTTTCCAGAATATGTGCCTCCTTTTTGAAGCATGGACTCGTCGCTTGTATGCAGTATTCTAGATGAGGCCTGACATATGTTGCGTAGAGTATTTGGAACATGCCCTCGTCTAATCGTTTGAAAGCCCTTCGAATTGCCCATAGCATTCGAAAAGCTTTAGCTGCGGCTGCATTGCAATTTGCAGTTGTTTTCAAATCGTTGCTGACAATGATTCCTAGGTCCTTCTGTTCTTTAACATCAGGTAGTTCTGCATCCCCTAGGGAGTACGACGTATAAGACTTCTGACCTAAGTGCATTACCGCGCTTTTCCTAGCATTCATTTCCAAACTCCATAGGCTTGACCACTCAGCTAATTTATCTAAGTCATTTTGTAGGGCCAACCTATCCTCGTTATTGTTTACAGTTTTCCATACCTTAATGTCATCTGCAAATAATAATGAAGATGAAGAAAGAATCCCTGGTAATTCGTTAACGTATAATAGGAATAGCAATGGACCTAATACAGTTCCCTGGGGCACTCCACTGGATACTGCTTTCCATCCTGATAGTACACCATTAACTCTAACCTTCTGCCTTCTATCCATTAAGTAATCTCTAAACCACTCACATAGGCATTGGTCTAGTCCGAAACCTTTCAGTTTACTAAGGAGACCTAAGTGGGATACTTTGTCGAACGCCTTGCTAAGATCAATAAAAACCACGTCCAACAGATGGTCCCTATCTCTGGCCTCAACCCAGTCTTCCCTAGCCAATAGTAGGTTTGTCAAGCAGGATCGTCCTGGTCGGAATCCATGCTGTTCCACAGCCAACAAGCCATGTGTTTCAACATAAGCTAATAGTTGATCCCTTATAATAGTTTCCAGTACCTTTGCAATAATGCATGTCAGACTTACCGGCCTGTAGTTAGATACCAATTGCCTATCCCCGTCCTTGAAGATAGGGCTTATAATGGCATCCTTCCAGTCCCTGGGTAGCTTAGCCTGCGTCAGAGACATTTGGAAAATCTCCGTAAGCGGAATATATATTATATCCGCCAAGGAAAGTAACAACTTAGGGTGGAGTCCATCCGGCCCAGGTGATTTACCTGGCTTCAGTTTAGACAGTAGTTTCAGAACCTTTGTGTGCTCTACCACAATTGAGGGCATCTGAGTGGCGATGGCAGTGACCTCGCCATATCCCTGGGTGGTACTATCAGACGAGAAGACGTCACAGAAGTATTCAGAGAGGTTTTCAGCCTTCCCTTCGTCTGACTCAGCCGCTTCTCCACTAATGGTTATGAGTGACGGTATACCACTGCTAGTTTTAGTCCTACGTTTAATATACGAGTAAAACCTTTTTGGGTAATGAACGCAATCTAGTACTAATCGTCTCTCGTACTCTATACGACTCTTGTTAATCGCATACTTACAGAGGTTTCGAGTTTTGCGGTAGTCTTTCTGGAAGTTTTCCCTTCCTGTCATAACAAATTGGTCCCATAAGTTCTTTCGCCGTCTTAATAACCTCCTTATTTCACTAGTGATCCAAGGAGGTTCATGCGACGGCTTTCGAGGAGTGTACCAAGGTATAAAAGGTGAAGTGACACGATCTAGTGTATTCCTAAATCCTACCCAAGCTTCCTCGACAGTCTGACTTGTATCAACTGACCAGTCAACCACAGTTGCTGCGTTCCGGATTCCTTGTATATCCGCTTTCCAAATGTTTGGACGAGCAGATTTTGGCCTGTGCATGAGAGAATGAATCCTAAACGTAAAAGCAATGACTATGTGGTCACTGCTGCCAAGCGGCGGAAGGCACCTAATGTTACCAACGTCCTCCTTCTGGTGTGTCAATACCAAGTCTAGAGTAGATGGATCATGTTCAGGGTGATACCGTGTTGGTGCATGCATATGTTGCACGAGTGCACATTCAAGCACTGTCAATGTGAGCTCCCTATTGAAACAGGTATACAAACTAGTGGAGTTTAATTCCCCCCAATTAATATGTGGAGCGTTAAAGTCGCCAACAATCAGACACCTATTTCTACTACCCCACGCCCTCAAGTGATTTAGAACGAAGTCATCAGCTTGGCTAGCAGGACTTCTGTAGATAACTCCGATCGTTAAAGTGCCTTTGTTTAAGTTAATGATGCAACTTGCGGCTTCACTGGTGCCGCTGTCATGAGCTTCTGACAACGTTGACCTGATCCCTATGTCATCCCGGATGTAAAGAGCAACCCCCCCACCTTTCCGACTACTTACTCTGTCTGCTCGTATGCAGATATACCCAGGTATGAGTGGAGTTAAGTCTACACCCACTAACAACCACGTCTCAGTGATAGCAATTACATCAGGTTGTAGTCTTTCAGATAACTCTCCTAATTCGGCGAGCTTATTCCTAAGACTACATGCGTTCGTATAGCACACCGAAACACCTACGTGTTCACCCGGCTTATGAAGAGAGGTCTCGGCAGCATCGGTTTCCGAGACCTCACCACCCGAAAACCCAATAGTTTGAGGTCCTTCTCGCCTTTCTCTAGCCTGGCCTTTAGTTCAGCCACGGCTTCTCTTCTTTTGATTCTATCTTCCAAAGGCCAATCAGGCCTTATTTTTAGACTTTTGTCGTTGACTTTGAACGCGTTGTCGAGGATGGTCCTCCTCTCTGTTTCGTTCCCTAAAACTACCTTAAGTAGTCGTCGAGGAGTTCCTGTAGCATCAGGGTTTCGTTTTCCGATCCTGATAGCCTTTCGTACGTGTACTCCAGTTGTTTTTTCGGGAAGTATTTCCCGGAATATGGAGCTGATCGCCTTCAGATCATCTGCATGTCGGGCAGCTGGATCTGTGTTCTTAGATTCCTCCAAGTTCCAGATGATAATACTGTAACTAGAGTCCGTGGGTTTCTGAGTTTTGCTGGAACTAACAGTCGTCGAGACCTTGTTGGTAAACTCGGCTACTGTTTCTTTCCTAGTTTTGTTTAGCTTCTTACCTTTCGGCAGCAACCAAGTGGAGTCCGTTTCTCCCACTCTGTTTTCGCCGCGACTAGAAGCCATTCGTGCACTAGACACGCTGCGCTTTGGCGTTGCTATTTCACAGGCTGGTTTTGCCATGCTGGCACTACTTGCCCTTCTGGATTTCCGTTGCCTTTTGCGCTTTGCAGCAACAGATGTCTGGGCATTTTGTGCTTCTTTCGCTTCTGAGACTTCAGGAGGTGATGCACCCTGAATCTTACAACTATGTCCTGAACCGCCATCCTTGGCGAAGGTTTCTGGTACAGGCTTTTCAACTATGTCTTTCGACAATTTCTTGGACATCAAGAGTCCTACTGCCTCTTGGATGAGGACATCTAACGGGTTGCTGCAAAATTTGCACAGCCATGGAGATGATGGCTTGCAACATCTCTTATAGGCTACTGGTGTTAAACCAGTGCAAACTTTGTGGAACCAAAGGCTGCAGTTGTCACACTGCATCCCATCATCCACCGGAAAGTGGCAGTCCGGTCGACCACAATTGTTAGTTGGGGCCATAATTTTAATTTGTTACAACTATACAGTTATATATACGTCAAAACAGTGAGGTTAATGCCAAACAAATACACACTTATATATACGTGTGACAGCTAGGTAAATACCAACCAAAACACAAAATGTGAATAAAACAGACAACACTTGAACTAAATAAATCAGTTAAAGTGAACTAAAAGCTTCTGATGTGGTTTAAACAACAAAAGCAGAATTTACTTCACAACGTAAAAAATGCCACTCTCCTTTTTCAAAGCGCGCGCGCGTGATAGGTAGATACTATTAGGTTCTCTTCTATGTAAAACACATCCAAGCCATCCCACCATTTCGAAAACCGAATGCTAGTATCTTGAATCATACTCTGTTCACAGTTCGTTAGGCAGTATATTATACTTCCGGGATCTCAGAATGTACAAATGAACAAATGTTTTACTAATATTCAGTCAAAGGTTTCATTTTGTCTAATTTGATTATAGCTGACAAGAATATGTCTTGAGGTTAAGTA